CCCTTCTTCTGTGTTCTCTTTAATTTTTGTCTCCCTCCATAGTCTCAATATAAAACATATTTTGAGTTTAAGCCCCAAGAAAAGATTTTAGGAAAGAGCAGCAAGTTAGTGTTTGGGGTACTATTTTTGAAATAGCAATGATTAAATAGTCCATGTCCACATATAACACTACCTATAAACCACTAAAATGTAAAACACACGTACTTTATCAGTTATCCATAATTCCCTTTGAAATTTGCAAATGTGAGTTCAGAGAGCAAAAGATTGCTCCTTGGCTTAGTACATAATGTTGAGCTCCTTTCTAGATATAATATAGAAAACTTTAATAAATTTGCAGAGATAGAATTAATATAAAATATTTACTAATAAGTAGTGTGCTGAACTGTCTAATTATCACAGTTAAATTGAGTATGCATATTTAATACATGTATTTTAGTTTGTCTTGGAGTTCATGCTCTAGCTAGAGTTTCACTTTGTGCTTTCAGACAGACAAGACCTTGGTGAGAAGTTTTGTTTTTGTTTGCTTTTTATTCTTAGCTATTTATGGAATACCTGAGAATCTTTCTTACCAAACACCCACAATCACAGAACATTATTATCAAATTGTTGGAGTAAAGTTCTAAATGCTGAAGAAAATAATTCATTAGACAACAGCAAAGGAAAATAAATGTTCTCTTCCTCATCTCTTTCATCAACAAGAATTACTGACTGTGATAGTTACACATGTCCAAAGATCAACCATTAGTGCTGCTGATTTTGCTCTGCTTACAAACTGTAATTTACCTGAATATTTCAAATAAAGACATGTAAGTAGAGAATCCCAAGGGCTAGTATAATGTGTAGAAACAGTGTCTTAATCTTTAAAGGCTATTTTAGTTGTTTGAAGGCATTCAACAGTTGAAATTTTGGCCAAGCTAAATATGGTTATAGCAGTAGCTTGTGGAAAAAAGGAGTAGTATGTGAACTCTTACTAAATATTTAATTTTCATACTGTTTGGTGTATAGAAGAAGCTAATAATGGTGTGTTGACAAACAAAGACCAGGGACTTTGTCTGCAATCAATGAAACACATGGCAACTTGGCGATGAAGTGATGCGGGCCCTCCAGCTGCCTTTTCTTGGGTTTGCCACACTGGCACCAGAATTTGACTCTCGCACATCTATCAAATTATGCTCTCAGATTTTATGTGCATTGTAGAGAAATGTGGAAGAAAGGAAATCATTTGAAAGCACAATATTATGGTAGACAAACCAAGCCCTGAGTGAAATCACATGTGGGTGATTTAAGAAAGGCCCCTAAGCATACTTGAAAATTTTTTCAGTTTTATGTGGAGGAGTCTGGAAGGTTTCCTCACTGTTTGCTGATCTAACTTGTCAATTTTCAACACATGGAAATTATTAGTGCAACACTAGTCTGAAATTAGAACCAAGAATGCAGATACATAATATTTATTCCATCCTCTCAGACCTGTTTCAAGGCACTACAGAATAACTCTGTCGGAGTTTACATATGCATATATGTGATGTCAACGCAGCATGTTATCTATCCTTGACTTAGTACATAAAGTCGTTGTCTTTTCTTAGTTAAGTTGAGCAACAATTTTCTGGTGCATTTTCATTGTGTGTGGTAATGAACTGTGAGTATTTCAATACTTTTCTGTGAATCACACTTAGGCATTCAGGCTGAAATCAGCAACAACTGTCCATGACCTTTAACATGCCTGCTTTCCAAATTACAGCGGATCACGAATCACAGGGAGCTTACATTTTATGATTCGAGGATCCTTCCTTGTCGTCTTCCTCCCGTTCTGTCCCTCTCCTTCGCTGAAACACACACACACACACACACACACACACACACACACACACACACAAACACACACACACACACACACACACACCCCACACACATGAAAACATCTCGCACACGAAGAATGGCCCCGCGCCTGATTTCCAGCTTTGCCAGGGCACAAGCACCGCCCTCGCAGCTCGTCGGTGCAGAAGGAGTTTCAGTATAAATGCCATTAGTTGTGGAGGGCCATGGGCTGCAGGCAGAGTGCTGGGCACAGAGAAATGCCACTGCAAAAGGTAACCGCCCGAAATGCGGCGCCGATTGTTCAGCAGAGCTACCTTGGGCGACTTGGCCAGAATCCACCTCCACTGCGGAGTTATCACGCGGAAAAGCAGAACAATATGGCTAAGGGCCTGGTGGGAGCAGATAGTGTCGCCCCTCCGCAGGCCACAGCAACCCAGGCTACGTCACCGCGGGCCGTGGGGCGCGCTCCCCGTCCCTTCCCCTCCCGCTTCCAGTCTAACTCCCTTCCTCCCCCCGACCTCTCCCTGCCAAGTACCAGGAAGGCTGCTGGAGTCAAATTAAGATTTCCATTCCCATACTCAATTTATTGTAACGAACTGCGACCCCCGGGGAGCAGCCGAGGTAAAGAAATGAAGTTTTAAGAACAAAAGCAAAACGAGTTGAACTTTCAAGGATACACGTAAACACCACCGGTGACAATCGAGTTCAAACTCCACTTTGTACAGTAGTTGTTCAGTCTTTCCAGCGAACCCCGGAAAGACTCTGGATTCAAAATGCTCCAGATTCAAGACTTCGGGGGTTGGCACTCTCCATCCTAACTCCCCAAATACTCCAAGAAGTTCAGTGACCGCGTACTTCTCAGGGACCATCGGAAAGGTCTCTGCTTTAGGTCTCTTCTCGAAGCTCAGTGCCCAGGTGCCCGAGCGGGCTGGACCTGAATCCCGAGCACGTCTGCACGTATGGATGCGTGTGTGTGTGTGTGTGTGTGTGTGTCCGCGCGCGCGCGTAAACAGCCTCCAGTAACTGGAGCTGTAACAGCCTGAGACCTTGGGAAGAAGGGGCGACCACTCGTCGCCCGGGTCGTGATTCAGTGCTCGCAGAGGAAGGATTATCCGAGTCTGAGTCATCGCGAGCCTCCAGACTTTCTCTGCAGTGTGGAAGAACTTTGCGCTGATGAGACAATAGTGGAGCGTGTGCGTTTCCTACAGGGCAGACCATTGCCGGGCTGGGGGAAGCCTGGGGCCTGCGCCGGGCCGCGGGAGCCCGGCCCCCTCCCTGCGCCGCGCAGCCCCGAGACCCCGCCGGCTCCCGAGCACCCCCCGAGGCTGGCGCGTCCGGGGCGCGCGCGGGCGGCGTGGGGAGTGGGCCGAGCGCGTGGCGGGCCCCGCGCGCCCTCGCGCGTCCCCCGCGTCCGGGCGCAGCTGGCTCGGTCGGTGTAGCGCAGCGCTCGGCTCCTCGCCGCGGGCGCTCGGCTTCACCTTCAGATGCGCGGGGCGCGCGCGTCCTCCACCCCCGTCCGCCGCCACCCCGCCAAGGTAGGGGCCGCCGGCTGGGGCGCTGCGGGGCCCGCTGACGGCGGGGGGTGACGTGCTCGGGACCCCGATGTGAGCGGGAGCGGGGCGGGGGCGCGCCGGAGAGGGGCTTCCCCGGTGCGGGGAGGGCGACTCGGCTTTCCAGTTGGTAGGAGCCTGGCACTGCAATTCCAGAAGAGGGGACGAAGGAACTTCGGGCGGCAGGGCGAGCGCCGGGAGGCGGCTTTTTACCGCAGTGGAGGGGCGGGGTGGGGGCCGGGGTGGGAGCGCGGAAGAGCCTCGGGCTTTGTACACTCCGTCAGAGGCGTTGCGGGAGGAGGGGAGCTCGGATGCGCTTTCCATCCATTAGGAGACAAAGAGCAAATTGCCTTACTTTAAAGTAAAACGCTCTGGCTAATGAAGGTGGGTGATGGGCTGCGGGGCCCTAGGAGCCGCTTCAATTATTAAGGGTTTGGCGGATGGGATCGATGCCTGTAGGCACCGAGCACTGCTGCCTAGGGGATGTGTTTGCCGTGTGTATGGGGGGAGGTCTGTGCTGTCCCCTCCCATGGTGACTGCCCATCAGCCAGGAGCTTTAGAGCGACCCTAACATTAGAGAAGTGGGAGCTTTGGGAAGGGAAGTTCGGGAGGGGTGGGGGCTGGGGCGGGGGCGGCAGTGAGGTTCTGCAAGTGACTCCGAGTTGGGTGGGGGTCTGGACGGCTGCGACTCCTCCGAGATCATCAAGTCTGCCTGGGGTCAGAGCAGGGTTGAGGTGGGGGAAGTATTGATGGCGATACACTTACATGTATATACATTACACACACACACACACACACACACACACACACACACACACTGTATAAAGAAAAGAATGCAGTGGGGTGTGTGCCAGCGGGGGTGGGGGTTGGAAAGGCGCCTCCTCTGCCATTAACAGGGAGCGCTAACAAACTGAATAGTTACGATCAATATTTAGATTAAACCGCCTCGTCAAGTTTTAAAGAAACTTTGTATGAATAAGTTTAAAACCCAGCTGAGTGGGATATTTAAACCAGAGGTTTATGGAGGAAGGTTGGTGTGCGGTGACGATCAGGCATTGTGAGCCAGGAAGCCAGTGGATCTCTGCAATTAGGGACCCAAAAGAATCGGCTTTTTACCTAAAAAATGTGGGTCTGTAAGTCAGGCTCATTTATTACCAGTGTTAATAAGCTTCCCGCAGCCGACCGAGATCAGCCCAGAAGCTCTGGAGCTGTGTTTGTATCTTACTGGCTTATTGATAAAGAGTCACTTGGTCTCCGGGTGTGCAGACATTAACTTGCTCAGCCCTCTTTTTAAATATATTCATTCTGTGCCTTATTTAATCCAGATGCACAAAAAGCCATTTGCTGCCTCATTGTTGGTTTACATTTTTTTGAAAATGCGACTGGTGTAACCTGTGGAATTTGAAATGCAAATAAAAGCCTGTGGGAGTTGAGGCAGAACAAATCAGCATTTATAAAGTGAAAAAGATTTAATGTCTTTGAAATCACTGCAGGGGAAGAAAACTGGAGGGGGAGTGTGATTTTTTTCATGGAGTTAATTGTGACGTCAGGTCTTTTTGGAAAAGATGTTATTTTTAAGGTCCGAAACCCTGGTATGTAAAGTGCTTACAGGAAAAACAGATTACAAGATTAACATCTGTTAACATGGTCGTTTATCTCCAGCCAAAAATAGGTCAGTTCTTTCTTAAAGAAGCATGATTGTTAGGGCATGCTTAAATAATAAAATGAAAATAATGAGTTCAAAAATTAGGGACGAGCGTTTGTTATGATCTGACCTGTGATAAACACTTTCTGATTTCGAAATCACTTGAGGTCAAAGTCTCTTTTGAGTGTTAAGAACAACTCTACCCGGTGTCCACCCCTCCCCGATGATCCCCCTCCTCCCTACTCGTAGCTCCCTCACCCAACTAATTTTCTTTTTCGTCCATTGTGGAAGTACAATATATATTTAAAGGGGCCTTGTCTGACGCTCCCTCCCTTAAGAAGCAAACTCTTTCGGCGTAGATGGCTAACTTTCAGAGCTCTGCCGTTGTTTTACCACTATATGAAAAGGCATAGGAGGATAGAGAAAAAAGAAACTGCTTTCCAAAGTCTTCCTGCCCCCTGGGTGTGAGTGACGGCTCTGCTGGCCAATCCGCAGCGGCTTTCGCTATCCCGGAGGTAATTTGGGGTGTGTGTGTGAACGCGCGCGCGTGCGTGTGCATGCGTTCGTGTGTCTACACGCTTAAGTACGACCAGTCAGCCTTTCGCATCCACAGGCTCCTGCATTTGCACAGATGTGTGAAGTAAATGTGGGCACGCTTTTTATGCAGTCTGTCCAGCTAGGGGCGCACGCAGCAGTTTATGTGAAGACCCTGCCCCCTCCGAGTGTCCTTTAGTGAAAAATGGGCATTAGAGGCATTTTCAGATTCAAGTCGAAACCTGCAGAAAGGGAAGAAAAGAGGAGCGATGTGATTATGCTTCTCAGCAGTTGAGAAATCGAAATGTGCAGCTTCCGGCGCCTCAGTCCCACCCGCAGACGCGCCCCGGCGCCTTTGGGGTGCGAGCCTTGGAGCCCACTGACCGGGAGTAAAATGTGTAAAGAACGAGGGTTGTTGAAACGGATGTTAACTCTAGAAAACCGAGGGCAGCCTGCCAATTTTACATTTAATTCCTCACTGAAGTTGATACTCAGTCTGTAGCAAATTCTGGAACACGAACTGATCACAGCCAGTGGAAGTTTTGGCCCACCCCACTTGGGAGTGAGGCGCCTCGCCGCGTCTGCACTGAACAATGCGCATATTCGTAGGTGGCGTCAGGGGCCACGCCAAGCTTCCTAGAACTTCATCTCCACCGATTTCCTGGGAATGCCGGCGGTCATGGGTGGTTAGTGTAGCATGCGTTTTGGGGCGCGCACGGACTAGACAGGCACAACTAGCCTGTTTAAATGCTGAGGATAAGATGGCTAGGGCAGCCCAGTGGGCTGCTGTGCTGCTGTCCCCTGCGGGCTGATGACGCAATGAAGGATCCACGTGTCCCCACCATCTCCGAAGACCCCTGCAGGTGGGTCCCACAGGGACCTCGTGAACCCAGACAGGGGTGTGCGAGTGCCAGGTCGCACCGAGGTCACCTCTAGCGCCCACAGGCACCCTTCACCAAATCCACCCCCCAATCCAGTTAGGTTCCGAGGTGGTGTCGGTGTCGCACATCTCCACCCACGCGGGCCATTTCCTGCCCCCTGCCGGGGTGCCAAAGGATCGTCCCTCCTGGCTGCGCTGGGTATGGGCGAGCAGTGCGGAGACTCGGTCCTCTCCCAGGATCCCCGCCCGGGCGGGCGGGGCGCGGCTGGGTGGGGGTCGAGCGGGGGCGGCTCGCGCGGGGGGCGGGGCACCTACCTGCCCGCCCCGGGGCGGGGGCGCGGCCGCTTGTTGCTGGGCTTCCCGGGGGCGGGCCGGGGGGCGGGGCGAGTGGGGAGGGGAGGGCAGCGCCCCCGCCCCCGGCCCTCGGCGCCGGCTCCCCGCCCCCGTCCTGTGGGGCGGACGTCACACGCCTGCATGTAACCCAAGAAGTGAAAGAGACGGGAACCCACAGCCCAACTTCATACCGTAACAAAGAGGGGGTCGGTGCGGGCCTGGGGCGCGGACGCGCGGGCGGATGGGGCGCGGGGGAGGGTGGCGGGGGAGGGGCCGCCGCGCGCGGGGGGGGGGCTGAGGCCGAGTTGCCGGGAGGGGCGGGCGGGGGAGGGCGGGGGAGGGCAGGGGAGGGAGGGGGCGGGGCGGGGGCGGGGCCGGCCGGGCGGGGGTCTCGCGGCGGCGCGGCCGGGCTCCGGGGCCGAGCGCGGCGGAGGCCAGGTAATTGGTTTCTATTTTAAACTTCACTTTGTTCTGCTGGAGGGTGAGTGGTGGGAAAGGCGTGGTCCCCGAGGACGGTTACATAAGTCTTCACACCTGAGTTGGCTCCTGCGCCCCGAAAAGGGCAGGCTTGGGGCAGCAGAGGCGGGTGGGCACTTGGGCGCGGGCGTCTGGCCCGGGGCTGCTGTGTGTCGGTTTGTGACCTGCTGGAGGGACCGACCGGTTTCCTCGGCGCCAAGCAGGAGGCCGAAGTAGTCTTCTGGAGCGCTTCTAAAGCCAGATGTTCCCGTGGGCCCGGGCCTTCCAGAGTATCCACTGTGTAACAAAGAGCGGGGCCCTGGACCCCCCAGTCCACTGTGTGCTGACTTAGCCAGCAGGTCGCAGAAAGAACTTTAGATGAGGCCGTAATTACACAGATAGCACGGGGCATTTCCCGTGAACCGGCCATTAAGTATTGGATCTTGATTAGAGCCTGTTTGAAAATGGATGTGAGCAGAGCAGAGTACAGGCTAAGTGGGTAGCACATCACCAGGAGCTTTCCCAGGTTATGTTTTAAGCCACTTTCCTAATAGAATTGAAGTATTTTGGTTTAGGATTTCTTTTTTTAGGAACTAGGTATGCGTGTGCTGTTATATAGGGTACTTGTTACTGCTTGTAAAGAAAAAAGCTCTTTTTATTATTTGTTTGTTCCTCCTTCATTTTCCCTTGCATTCATTAACCGTGGCCTCGAAAGACCTGAATTTTATTTACACAGACCGGCCAGAATTGAATATACCACGTAGCACTATTGTGCATGAATCTAACCCTCACCCCTTAGTCAAATTGGAGTTGAGCTCGCCCTGGTGTCAGCGGTGTGTGGCTTTGGGTTAGTGGTTGGCGACATCTTTAGTTTCACGGGAGTGACCCTATAGCCATCTTGAATGGATTCCAGATAAACTGAAGTCGCCCCAAGACTCGTGTGTTTTGGTAATTACATTAGAATTTTGATATGTTAAGGTGCTAACGTGTCTTAAGTTTTCCTTAATTCATCAGTAGGATTTTGTTTTCTCACAGTTGTTAATTTGAATATACTGAAACATTCTAGGCACTCTTAACATTCTAAAAAAATAGCATCCCCAGCCCGTCTGTAATAAAGCTAACCAAAACTATTGGGCATGCCTTTCTAAAATGAAACAAAACACCAGCGTGGTTTATTGGTAGCAACTCACTGTTTTCAATAGTAAATGGAGAGAAGGGAGACTTGCTTATTTGTGCTTCTGAGAGCTTTTATCACAGTCTTCGCAAATGGCGCAATGTACTGAACTGACACAGGGTCAAGAACTTGTTTAGAATGTTTACTTGATTATAATGGCTGATGTCCTGAGGATAGCTTATATCAACAGTGTTTTAATATTATTTATTTGGAGGCGGTGTTTAGAGGTAACTAAATTTAGAGATAAAACATTTCCTGAAACTCTAAAGTTCTGCATTTCTGACTTGTTAAGAGATCTCTGGAATGGACATTAAGTGAATAGAAACAAGAGACTTTTTAAAATACAAAACAAAAGAACTCCCAAAAACAAAAAACAGGTCACAGTGTTAAAAGCACTTTATGTCCACAAATGAAAGTTTTAATTCCATTTGCCTTACTGGTTTCTGTTAGGAGATACTTGACTTTTGTAAGTGAAGCATTTGGTGTGATTAAGCTTAGCAACAATTATGTGGGAAAAAAAAAGATTTCTTTAAAGAATACTTTGAAGTGAGGAATACTCTTTAACAGATGGCTTGCAGTCTTCCTAAATGAGGAAAAATGATAATACTGCCTCACAAGTTAAGTAGAGTTTATTCCTGAATGGGTGTTAAAAACCAGTACCTAGTTTATTGGGTTGTCCTGAGTTTTTATCTGTTCTTTTTTTCCAGGCTCTGTATGGTTTATTCATAGTTAACCAGAGGGAATCTTTGGAAAAAATTTTGTGGGCGTGGCTTCCAGTCTGGAGATTGTGTTTAGTGTTTCAGCAGCATTATACCTTAATGCCATAGAAATAGGAAACTGAAATATAAGCTGATTACGTTCAGCAGGAGGGAGCCTGCCCATGCACTTTTCTCTTGCAATATGCTTGTTTAGACCTTTGAGACATTTCACTGTTTGGGTTTTTATCCCACTTTCAGTTTAGGAAGAAAGAACAAATGTTAATTATCTAATTACAAATGGCATTTTGCTTATAATATAACTAGTTTTCTGACTGAAGAAAGCTTTGCTGTTAAGTGTGCAGGACAAGCATATCGGATTTCTTTTTGGTTTTTGATTGGCCAAGTTTATCAGGAGAGATCCAGTTTTCTCTGTGGTAGAGGTGGCTTTATACCCCATTGTAATTAATAGATCTAAGGAAACAAAAATTTATTTCAGGAGATGTCTGCATTACCAGTATTTGAACTTGGAAATAACATTCCTTCCTCAAAAGCAGAAGTCTTACTAGCTGCAAATGTTTATACATTTTAGTGCTTAGATAAAGCTATTCAGAACACAATCAGTCCTTTCAAAAATGCATCTCTTTGCTGCCTGACCCTCCCCCTCAAAAGTTCTAGAAATGGTGGGAAAAGTTCAATTAACTCTCTTCTTACTGAATGTGTAGCGCTCAGAGAGCTTCCCCTGCACATTTGTGCTCGCCTCTATTTTTGTTTATTGCCTCCTTGCTGTCCTACAAAAAGGCCTTCCTTGTGCACCTTTGACCTTTGCTTCCAGGATTGTTAACATGGAAACATAAAGGACTAATTTCATTACTCTGTTTAGCTCTTGGGGCCAGGGGGTTACCCGTCCAGGGTGCTGGGGTCCTGCATCTCATTTGCATTTGCATTTTTATGTGAGCTCTGGCCTTAGGATGAAGTCTTGGGTGGGTGGTGGTTGGAGTCCATCCCTCTGTGTGTTCCAGGCATAGAGGTACGTGGAGATTCCAGAAGGCAGGTGTGAGTATGGGCTGTGGGGCTGTAACCCTGAGTTAATGACTGTGGTTTGGGCCCCCTTGAGCTGGGAGTGAGCTGGCTGCCTTTCCCTCCCCCTCTGCCCCTGGGACTCTTTACCTTACCTTTCCTCTCACTGGCTAGAGGTGCAGTTCAGCTGGCCTGAGCTGGGATGTGTCCACAGGCCGGCCGCAGAGGAGAAAGCTTCCTTGGGTCCCAGGAACAGTGAGTTTGGAGGTCAGGAGTAGGACTGTTTCTCTTTTTTTGAAGTAAAGGGGTGACCTCTATCCTGAGTTAACCTCACCTTTCAGCATCTTTGGCACAGGGAAGATAATTCTCCTTAGCAAGTGAAGCAAGCTGTGGTTACCTCAGACTTTTTAGATAACTTTGGAAAGTTGTCCCAAACTCATTTCAAGAAAGGACTCATATCCAGCGTTTCTGTTTATGAAGACTTTATTAATAAATTTCACCTTATGGAAGAAGAATTTAGGAAGATTTTTATTATGGATTTGGAATGTCTGGTTCAAGTCTTTAAAAAGCCTCTTTAAAATAAATTGTTTTCCAGGGAGGCATATTTTTGGGGTATGATTTAAGTAACACTAGGAGAGATGCATTCATAAGGACTATAAATGCATGTCCTGTACTGGCTACTGAGGTATATGAAGAGTATTTCCTACGACTGGTGAAAATTGGCAGTTACAACTGTAACTGTCCGTTTTGCGTTCTTTATCCCCTGCATCTGGCCACACGTGACTTGAGCAGCTGTAGCCTTCCCTGCCAGGGTGAAGCAGTCATGTTTGTGTGTGCATTGAAATGCTTTCCCCTAGACACTGGACAGCTAAGGAAGTATAATTTTGTGGCCCTCAACATGCCTGAAAAGTAGTTTTCTAAAAAAAGACCTGGCGTTTCATCTTTAGTCTAACTGTACTGGAAATTACAAAGCATAGTAATTAGAATTGCAAACTATTTTTAGAAAGCAGATTGTAAATATATGTTAAGTAATGAGCAAAATACAACCCAGGAGAATAGGAAAAATCATCTAAAAGCAGCAACATCATGATGCCTTGGATACATTTTGCTATGTGTTTTTAATCTGTTCATTCTTACAGATATTTTGTCTTTTTCTCCTTGTTGTTTTTTTGATTTGGGGGTCTGGTGTTTTAATCAAGCTGTTATGGAGTGAACATTTACTTGAAGAGATGTGCAGTCTATATAATTGTAAGGTTCAGACAGTTCTTCAGCTGATGGTAAAACTGGGTGAGAGACGGCTGTGTTTTGTTGTTTCCAAACTGAATGAAGCAGGTGCTTTATTCCACCAGACACAGGTAGACCTCTCTCTTTTGGCTCCTCACTCTCTGGGGAGTTGCTGATGTCAGCACCGCCTTCTGCATACAGCTGTCCTCCTATTTTCTTGCTCGTTTAAGAGATGGTGTGTGCAGATTAAGTGCCAGTGTCAGCTTTCAAGACATACAGAAAGACTTAAAAATTGAGGTTCTGTTAAAACTCTTGATTTTTTTTGTTAATGGCTGAGAAGTAAATTATTTTTTCAGTATTATTAACACTTGGAAAGCCTTCTCATCTCCAGCTTTTACCTTGTGAAAGTAAGGGACATTTGTTTAGGAATTTTTGTCCTTTGTTTCAGCAAAGGGCAACATGTGTCTGTCTTTGCCATATGGTACTACTTAACCTATATCGCATGAACAGACTAGGAGCTGTGCTTAGGCAT